CCTAGCGGACTTCAACGTTGGTGTCGGTTCGGCTCGAGTTTCACAAAGCCGTTTTTGTTTTCTCCTTGGAGGTGACTTTGTTTACTGGAACTGGATACCGCAGTCTGTGGTTCCTGGTAGGTGACGGGGTGTTTGGTTTCTCGTCGGCTGTTTGACTGGATGAAGTTGATTGGGGTTCAGTGTACTTGCTGGGGTCGGTTGCTGTTGGTACATACACTCCCGCCTCCACCTTCTCCTCTCTCTCTCTCTCTCTCTCTCTCTCTCTCTCTCTCTCTCTCTCTCTCTCTCTCTCTCTCTCTCTCCACTAACAGCAGTACATATTAATAGACTCCACTCTGTCTGCGACAACTAGATATGAAGATCAACGTAAATCAAAACATAAATGATGACATTCTCTAGAAAAGGAAGAACCACCAGTATCAAAACTGATGAACACCTGTTGAAGCAGGCGAAGGGTTTTACATATCTGGGAAACATTTTTTCAGAAGACGGAAGAATGAATCAAGAAATACAACAAAGATGCAATAAAACCAATCAAGTTTTAGACCAAATGTGAATATAAACACTAAAACAACACTGTTTAACACAATATTCTTATCAGCGCTCTGCTATCAATGTCAAACACGGACACTGTCACTAGAAAACAGGAAGAAAATAATCACGACAGAAATGAAATGTTTACCTACTATGCTGGGTGTAACGAGGAAAGATCGACTTCGGAACGATGATATCAGGAGGAGAATCGGCACAGAACCAACACTGAACTTTAAAGGTAAACAACAATTTAAATGGTTTGGCCATGTAACAAGATTGGGAGCAAATATGGCCCTGCAGAGAACAATGTTATACAGACACAGCGGTAATAGACCCAGAGGTCGACCACGCAGAATGTGGACCGCAGAAATATCAGAGACACTGAAAAGTACTATACACGAAGCGAACATGAGGGCCCGTTCTACAGATCTCTTCCTCCCCTGACGCCGCGAGGCATTCCAGGAGTAGAGAAAAGAAGAACAAGATTTTACACACACACACACACACACATATATGTATATATATATATATATATATATATATATATATATATATATATATATATATATATATATATATATATATATATATATATATATATATATATATATATATATATATATATATATATATATATATATATACCCCCCCCCCTTTCCCCCTAGCCTCAAGTTTGCCAGTTGTCAGTTATCTTTAGGCGTCTCAAAAAGTATGTACCTGTAGCTCCAGCAACGACCCCTATAGATTCCCAAACCACCTGGACGGATGTCGGAGTTCCAAATAGAACCCACCTATGTCAGTGCGATGCTGATTGCATAACCGGTTGGCTAGTCTTTCATATGTATCGTATTAGAAATCTGTCTGGTCCACGGTTTAGGACCAACATCATAGCTACGTGACATCGTCATAGGCGCTCTGTCGTTTTTAGCAACCAGCAGAGTGTTCGGTGCAGCTGGTATAGTCCGTTCCAAAAGTTGTGTCTCTAGACTTTAACGAATATCTCGAAAACTCCCGTACTGATCAACACGCATTTTTTTGCATGAGGTCTTGGATTTTCCACATCATTGTGATTTCACAGTTTACAGTTGCACATGTGCTGCTGTTTCCTTTCAGCGGCGAATTTCTTTGATTTTTGTATGTGGAGTATCAATTTGTTTATCCTCTTGTACTGTAAAGAAGCTAATTGCAAACTTTGAATATGTGTCCCTTCTCTCTCTCTCTCTCTCTCTCTCTCTCTCTCTCTCTCTCTCTCTCTCTCTGTCTGTCTCTCTCTCTCTCTCTCTCTCTCTCTCTCTCTCTCTCTCTCTCTCTCTCTCTCTCTCTCATATACGACAGATAAGTTAGAATAAAAACTATACATTTGTTCACCACATTCTAATTATTTTTGTACAAGGACATAATTGTTAGCATGTTACATGTAAAAATTTCAATAATTTACACCGAACGGTTACTGTCACTTGAAGATAGATCCCAGATACCCCTTCAACCTCCACAGGAAGTTATAATGAGGGTACTAGTAACGGCTACACCCAGCCAGTGTTAGCCTGTAGTTCTGTGTAGATAAGGCCCTTCCTCCTGGGTGTGCAGATGCAAGATTCAGTTTATAGTCTCTTACAATCTCGCTGGGTTGTGAACTTTCGTAAAGAGACTAGTCATGTGACACAGTTTCCTTGGAGGCTGCTTTCTTATCGGATCAGTCAGTACGCGTACGTCTACCTCATTCCGATAAACACGGATCTCTTATCAGAGATCAAACGACCTTATTGTAACCCTTTGAAAACTCTTCGAACTTGACAGTTGAATATCAGTCTTCCAGAGCGCACGACCAGCCAACATGGCGTCGGACAGTAATCACAGTGTCATTACCTTTACAAGGCATGACGTGTGTTGTTCTGTTTGTTTCATCTGTTGATGTTTGTCTGAGTGTCATGACCTCAACAACAATTACTGGCGGTCTTCAGCGGCAGTACCCATATGTTATCGACAACTGGCCGACGTTTCGCATCATTTCTGTGACCGTTGGGTCGCGCAGATATCTTTCGGCCGTATTTCTTCTTGTTGACGACACATGTCACCTGTTTTATGGCACACTTGAGCAGATTCATCTTTCAGATACCTCGTCACCGACATATCATGACACCACGTCTCCCTGTATGTGGAATGCATCAATTCCCTCACTCTTGTCTTCTACCACTGAGTGTGCAAATGTATGTTGTGGTTGTCGTAAACTGCATTCTTTATTCGAACCAACGAATCAACAAACTTTGTGTTTTTAGAGGTTTACTAAGTTTAAACATTAGATCAACATTATGACACAAGGGTAGTAACCCATAAGTGCTCCGTTCTACTTCTGACTCAAACCTGAGTCCCAAAAATGTCAGTGTAGTGTACGAACTCCGTGGCACCGGCGAGGATACTGAAATACTTTTTTGGGTAGATTTTTAACTTCAGATTTTGGCAGGTAGCGCCGTTAGGCTACTGTTTTCGATTTCCAACTGCCAAGGTGTTTTTTTTTTTAACATGCGCAACAATACACACAGGCGACCAGTCTTACTACCCAGAGACTAGGGAAAATTACAAGAAGTCCACGTGACAAAATTCCAGGCTTCACAGGGGCTTGAGCCAGGGACCTTAGCACCCGAGGCGGACACCATACATCGTGACCACGAAGCGCCCCCGCTCCCTTTTTTAATACCCACAGACCAGGGAAAATTACTAGAAGTCCATGTGAAACAAATCAGTCTTCACCGGGGCTTGAACCCGAGACCTCCAGCATTCTAGGCGGACACAATGCCTCGAGACCACACAACTCCCACATATGGTTACTTATGGGCGCGCAGGCCAATCTTACTTTCAGCCCTTCCAGATACTTATTTGTCACAAAGCAGTGAAAGGGATCCAATTGGGATTTATGTTCCTTGTTTATCTTCTCCTGTTTTATCCTGCATTTTGAGTTTTATATTGTAGTCTTAAGCTTTATTTCTTCTGTCTTTTGAAGTTGATACATTTTGTCCTCTGGCATAATCTCTGTTCTTCTACCACTGAAAACGACCACCATGCCCTTTATATTTTAGCTGTAACTCATTCGTTCTCACACTCGCCTACATACAGCCCTTGTCACTGTCTGTCATATACTTCACTGTCTTCCGCGTTTCCCAAGGGCTGTTGTCACACTTTTCCATGGGTTACAGCTAGGCTGTGATATCTGCAGACCTTTTCACCAACACGTCCGATATATACTCTTCAGTTAGTCGCCTTTTGGGACATGCATGTTAAGGGGCAGTTGGCCTGTTCTCCCAATGGCGAGGTGTGCATGTAACGGATGCAACTGTTGCTTTTCCCTTGCCAAAGAAGAATGCATTACTTTACTAATTTTTAAAATAAAAAATTTTGTTCCGTTTACAAATACGCCACTCTGTTTACGCCTCAGACATTAAAAAAAAAAAAAAACGCTTGCTGCATGCATATTTGCAGAGTGGTGTGCAGAAACTATAACTTGTTAAATCTACCCGTTACTAGTACTACGATGCTAGCTGGGCACGATTACTCCCAACGGCGAAGCAACGATGATGACAATGTCACGCGATACTCTCTCAAGTATCGTCGTTACTTGGTAACGCTTGCACATGCGAATTCATCACGCCCTGAAGTAGGGACTCGAAACCAACAGGAAGAGTCTCTGTTATACACACAACTTCATGTTTGTAGAAAGCTTGGACATATTTTCCTCTAACATGGAGACCTTTGAGAAGATGCTTCTTTTTCTGCCTTCTTTTCCCCAATGGAGCATAAACCCTCAACCAACTTACGGCAAGTAATTATTTCCGCTATTGCGTGCAGCTCACCCCATATGCCCCCCTTTCTCCATCTTTATAAATTCAGTCTCTTGCTCCCTTCTCCGTAAGTTTTTGGGTCTGCCTTTATTTCTCTGCCCCTGTGGGTTACAGTGCACAGACATTATAGTTATATTATTCCCAGGTTTTTTCAGCGCGTTTCCTATCCAGCCTTTTTCTTCACCTCTTGGTCCACTGGAACTTGCGTATTTCCCTCCCAAGCTCAACGTCAGTGATCCTATCGTACAATTACAGGCTCCAGTTAATTATTGTTTAGGTTTATTAGAAACCCCTTTGTTGTTCTCCATGTCTCCGCTGGATACAACAGTACTGATTTTATATTTGAGTTAAAATGTGTAGTATTAGTGTTAATGTTTGTGTGTGACTTAGACAAATGCCCAAGTGCTATGAAAACTCCCCTTGTCTTCTGTATTCGTGTTGAAATGATACTGATAGCATATTAATTTAAAATGTCCACTGTCTTTTTGCAGCCTCCCAACAACGCCACCCCCAAGTCTAGTCCTGTCTTAGTGGGAGCAGCAAAGCGTAAAGGGAAGCCCCCAGGGGAACACATCTCCATGGCGGGTCCAGCCATTAGTCAGCAGCAGCAGCAGCAAACAGCAGAATCTGTTGATGATGGCAACCCAGCAAGGCATGTCCCAGCAACAGTTGCAACATCTTCTGCAGCAGGGGCTGTCTCCGTCACTGCAGCAACTGATACAGCAACAGTCTTTGATGATGCAACAGGTGAGATAGACATATAGACAGTCAGATAGATGAATGGATGGATAGCTAGATAGATGGATAGCTAGATAGATAGATGAATGGATGAATGGATAAATGGATGGATGGATAGATAGATAGATGGGATAGCTAGATAGATAGATGGATGGATGGATGGCTAGATAGATGGATGGATGGATGGATGTGGCTGGCTGGATGGATGGATGAGTGGGTGAGGGTTGGATGGATGAATGGATAGATGGGTGGGTGAGGGTTGGAAGGATGAATGGATAGATGGGTGGGTGAGGGTTGGATGGATGTATGCAGAGAGGCATGGATGAATTGAGTCTGTGTGTAAATTCAATTCCGTTAGCAGCAATTTTTCTTTCTTGATTTATTTCTTTATTTTTCTTCGTTTATTTTATTTTGTTTTGATGTCTCCACAGGTGCAACATCAGAAACTACATGAGCAGTTATTACATTCCCTTAACGAACAGCTTCAAATGAACTTGATGCACCAGGCCCAGCTCATGAAAGACTCCTCGGGAAAAGGCAGTACAGTCTCTCCTTCCATCAATAACCACAGCCTTCAGACACTGCTGATGCAGCACCAGCAGATTATGCAGCAGATTCAGTTGGTTCAGAGACAGTTTGCCTTGGCCAGCGTTCTGCAGCCAATGGCCATGCACCAAGGTAAGGGATGTTTGTTTGGCCTCTTGTGCATATATTTGCTGTTATCCTTGAGCAGATTGAGACCTCACTATGTCATCAGCATTACCATCATTTTTGTCCTGTTTTGCCATTTATATGTCACAAAGGGCTCGTAGACCTTTCTTCCATTCCATTATATCCTGCGCAAACCCTTCGAAATCATGGAAGGAAGCCAGTCTAAGGCCCTTTGTTTCTCTTATCAACGTTCTTTTTAAGGTTTCTTGAGTATGTCCTTGGTTTCTCAATCCTTTAATTTCCAATTTAGGTGCCTGTTTTGCAATTCTCCACTATTTTCTTTTATGCCTCAAAATTAGCAGTGGTGTCAGCCTTTTCAAAAACAAACAAACTGGATTCGAAGATCTTGTGTTTGAATTCAAACGAAGAAATGACCTAGGCTCCCAGGTCCACCAAGCCCTGAGTGGATACTAGGTGAAGTCCTGGGAAGTAAAAGCGGCTGGCATGATATCGACCTCATCACCCATTAAGACTAAAACAATGAGTCTAGTCCCATATTCCCAGGGCCTTTATGGAATTTAAACTGACCTTTACTAGTAGCATAAGCCTTGTTTAAGTGCTAATAATAATAGTATACTGAATAGTAAATAGTAAAGTAAAGTAAAGGACCTTTTTCCACGCCTTAAGGTGTGTAAGGCATATAGGGATAGACCTATATTTTTATAGACCAATCGGCACAAGATGGGGTGATGTGGTCAGCATCACGCTGGCCGCCTTTACTTCCCGGGAACTGCACCCGGTATCCCACTCAAAGCTGGGTCGGCCTGTGAGGTCAATTAAAAAAAAAAGTCAGGCTTCTCCAGGGAGCGAACCCACGACTTTGAATAGTCAATAATTGAAAAAATTGTGAATACAAAAACTTAAAAAGAGAACTTATATATACATGAGGGAAGAGACTGGTCACAGGTGTCCTCAGTTACAAATTTGGGACCGGAGACAATTTTTCGCAGGCCAGGGTAGGGTGGCGGGGGTTAAGGGGGGGGGGGGTGTATCTGAGCCGCAATCTTCCTTCACCAGCTTTCTTTCAGTATGACAACATCGGTACGTATAATGTCCTGTGTCCTGGCATACCACCGGGAGGATCAACCCAACATTTGGCAAACGTTGTTACCGCTCTCAAACCAGTTAGTTCATCGGGATCAAGAAATCGAAGATGCAATACTTGTGTCAAAAACACATGATTAGTGTGTCTGTGTTCCCATATTGGATTTACTGCTTCATGTTTCTTTGCCGGCTGTTTACTCCCTGTGTCTGGAGTATTTCTGGGTTGTTTTAATTGTTTGCGCTGACGTCTGTTGTTGTGTGTTGACTTAAGCATTCGGGGTTTAACTTGCTTGAGGAAGGATGGGGCTGTTTTTTTTTTTTTTCATTACTGTGGCTGCTGTCTTTGTAGTTATTATTCCTACTGTTTCTTCTCCACCTCCTTATTTTTTTTCTTTGATGAGTTAACTTGAGTTGAGAACCTATATCACAACACTTGGGACATTCCCAAAAGCGCTCATCCTCAACTTCAGCAGCCAGTAAAGGGTTCCAGTTCTAATGCTAACAGTAGTAGTCACTTATATGTCATTCGTGCCTTTCTCTCTCTATATATAATAAACGAACAGACAGTGTATTGATCGGCACTCATAGAAAGAAGGAGAGAAATAGAAGGACACTAGATAACATTACAACCAAAACTATTGTCACCGTGCCGGGAATCGAACCTGTCACCTTTAGATTGCTCGTGCGCCTGGCTGTGGGAAGAAGTACACTTAAATACATGACCAGTTTTGCACCCCTTAAAAGGTGTCTTCGTTGGCCATGTCTTTCGTACCGCTTGAATTCCGCAACTATGGAATACGGACATAATTAATCTCAAATCATTGAAATGGCACCATAGGTTACATTTATATCAACAAAGCCTAGGTCGAATAACATTAACAGCAATAATTTACAAATCCAGCAAACTGTAATGCTTTGTCTAGAATACAATAAACAGATCCCTGGTCACTACTAACTGTATCATTCTCCCACCTGGTATGATCTCTTTGCTTTTATGCATTGTTCACTTGCTCCTGGAGGGCCTTGATCACATCTAACCTGCCTTGTATCTGTTCACCGCCCACTGGTGTGGAACCAGCCAATCTGTCTGCTTATACTCCTGCATGCCCGGAGAAAATATCCAAAGTACGCCAGGGGTCCCAGACACGAAACTTGTCACACTGCCGGGAGCATACCTGTATTTTCCTCCTCTTGCTTTTCTCCTCCTCCTCATCTCCCTCCCCTTCCGTATTCTTTTCGGGTTCATATTTTAGACTGGGTCGACCTGAAAGTTTAGAGCAAACCCCCCCCCCCCCCCCCTCCCCTTTTCCCCACCCCTTTCCACACAGACACACATTGGTGAGGACTGGGAACAAATTACCACACCACTGACAGTCCTAGCTACTCTCTCTCTGTCTGTCTGTCTGTCTGTCGCTGTCTCTGTCTGTCTGTCTGTCTGTCTGTCTGTCTCTCTCTGTCTGTCTGTCTGTCTGTCTCTCTCTCTCTCTCTCTCTCTCTCTCTCTCTCTCTCTCTCTCTCTCTCTCTCTCTCTCTCTCTAGAGAGAGAGATATGCGAAATATTACAAGAGTGAGTGCTGTGGATTTAGAAGATGTAAATTTATAATTTTTTCTAAAAACGAAGAACGAGGTGGAATGGACACGTCCTCAGAAAGAAGAGAGAGAGACGGCCGGGACAGACATTGCAATGGACACGACAAGCACAGGGAGGAAGAGGCAGGCTTAGAGGCACTTTGAGGCTGAACTCAAGGCTACGCGAGGGACAAAACTTGAGATAAAAAAAATATCTTAGGATCGAATTGAGTGGCGAAAGTTTGTCTCTGCCTTATGTGCCACTGGGCGCGATGAGGATTGCTTGACTGATTTGCTGTGGATTATATGTTGTCAATGATTCAGGTCCGGACACATTGCAAGGGGCTGTTTCCTCCTGCACATTCACATCGTCGCCCCGCGGTTTATATTTCCAGTATTACTGTATAGTAATGAACGTGAGCGTGTCTGCTGTGTTTACAATATAAGCATGGTCTGGAATGTATCCGGACGTGACAGTGGTGCGTGAGTGTAAGTGCGCACGCGCGTCTGCGCGGGTGTGATAGAATACAGGACAGAGAAGGATCGAACCCTCCTCACTATACACGATAACCATAGCTATAAGTGACTCTGCCAGCGGCACGTCTGAGACTATCAATTACCTAGTGTTAGCTGCTCGCGGACAGCACGAGGTTTCTGTTGAAGTCGCTCGAACTATTGTTTTTATTGTGTTTGTTGTCAGGACTGTGCTCCATAAACAAGCCAACTCTGCTGCACCCCCACACCCCAATGTCGTGTTCTCAACGATATTCTAACCTGATTCATCCTGGTATATAACTTCCCAGTGTATCAGAGAATATATCTGCGTGTGACAAATTAACGTTGTTGTTGTTGTTGTTGTTGTTGTTGTTGTTGTTGTTGTTGTTGTTGTTGTTGTTGTTGTTGTTGTTGTTGTTGTTGTTGTTGTTGTTGTTTGTTGTTGTGTGTTTGTTCTTCTTCTTCTTCTTCTCTCTTCTTCTTCTTCTTCGTCTTCTTCTTCTTCTTCTTCTTCTTCTTCTTCTTCTTCTTCTTCTTCTTACTTCTTCTTCTTTCTTCTTCTTCTTCTTCTTCTTCTTCTTCTTTCTTCTTCTTCTTCTTCTTCTTCTTCTTCTTCTTCTTCTTCCTCTTCTTCTTCTTCTTCTGCTTCTGCTGCTGCTGCTGCTGCTGCTGCTTGTTCTTCAGCAGCAGCATTCTGAGCCCTTCAAGTTCATTATTATTTATATCATCTATCTCCATTCATCTCTCTGACTGACCGTAAGTTTCCAATATGTGACTCCATGTTATTCACCATTTTCTCTGTTTGCGAAAATCTGGGTAAGATAAGTAAAGTGGGTGACCATTTTCTACGCCTTTAGTCGTATTGGGCATATATGGCTACACCTATTTTTTTTATAGGCAAATCGGCACTGGGTAGATGATGTCAACATCACGCCGGCCGCCTTCCCTTCTCATGACCTTACCTGGGACTCTTTTAAGGCTGGGCCCGACCTGGAAACAAAAATGATTTTTGAAGTCAAAAATCCGGCTTCGCTAGGACCTGAATCCACGACCTTTGGATCCCCAGGCGAGAGTCTAGACACTACACCACAATTAATCAGAGATATTCCCTTCGAAGTCGGAGTGCATTTGCCTGAGAGACCAGGAAGCAGCTGCTTAAACGTTGAGCAAATCTTTCAAATGTGATGTGAACGCGAAGAAAAAGATTCCAATGTGGATAGCACGTATTTTACACAATAAGAACAAGACGGTTTAAACCCCCTTCCCAAATTCCCTCTGTGATCCTCGGATAGTGAAATTGGACCTGTGTCGGCTCAGCCAAGAACAACTGTCACAGTGTGTGACTGAACATCCACTCGTCAGTTAGACATTGAAAAGAGCATTTGGAATAAATTCTTCAACAGTAGGCTTATCCCTGGTCAGAAAAGCGAGTAGCAGAACCTGATGATCTTTCTGGACACCCAGAGCAGTAAAAATCAAAGCAAAGAACAAGCTTGCGGAATAAACTATTCACTAGAACAGTTTTCACGACTAGACAACCTACTTAAACATAAATATATCATTCGCCTGTGTGGGTTCACGTATGTTTACTTCTTGTTGGTGGTCAGAGTTCGTCCACTGTGCTGACTTTCTCCTTGTTTGTCTGATGGGATCAGACTAAAGCTCCTGTTATGGAGTGAAAGTTATCCTTATCCTTAAAACACGTTTTCTTGCATCTGAGAAGAAAATTACCAAACTCTCTAAATCTTATCGTCGTCGCCATGTTGGATGCAGTTTTTCGTCAGTTTATAGCCCTACACTGGTTGTTGCCGGGGCCCTAGTATAACGTAACGGTTAAACGGGGTTTCTGAGACCTCTTC